CAGGAGTTATGCTGCTTTGTAAACAAAGGTAACCGCTCCTTCACTTAAAAGTCGGAAACGCCACCCGAAGTTGAGAAAGTGATTCAGGCATATAGTTTTTAAAATTGGCAGAAGTCGAGCAGTACGCAAGATAGCCTCATTATAGTGTTGTTGATTTGATGGAGAAGTGAATGGAACGCACCACCGCCTTACATATTCTTCATCATTTGTTCAATGTCCCCTGTTCATACTCCAAAGTAACATGTTTATCATGCTAAACAATACTTCCATCGCACTTAAAAAAACTTTATGATCAAGAGAATGTCGAAGTATTTTCGCCCCATCTTTTATCATCGTAAGATTTTCTTATTGATAAACCGGCTCTAGTAGATTATTCGATGCATATACTCGCCGATGCCAGAAATGTGCACGGCCCGCGAGCAGTATTCCCTAGCGTCCTTCGATGATAGCTTGCTCACGCAATTTGCTTTCCTGTTGTAGTACTTGTGTGCTTGTCGACTTTAGCGTGCCTGTTTACTCTGCTAACTGGCAATTAATACAGATGAGCCATTGCGGTTCGACATAGTTCGGTAGGAAAATCTAGCCATTTAGTGTGAGACGTCCTGGCTATGCGCGGGCGAGTGATGCGAATATACAGACTGCATGAGGTCAGCCTGAGCAAACCAGCAAACCCAAATTATGCACAGGCGCCAAGGCTGCCGTACTCGGCCCATTCTCTTGAAGGCTCCTGTCAGAGCAAACATGGCTTTCAGTAGATATCCTCAGGTGTCAGAACGTCCCGTCGGATAAGGCGTCAGCACCACCACGAGGATCTCTCACGCATGCTCACGTAGCCTCACATGCTGCCGCGTCAATGCTAAGACTCCGCGAATCACTTCGATCCGTTTCCGACCAAAAAGGTGTCTCTGCGTCTCTCCAGAATGCAGGCCATCGTTTAGGCCATATCATTTTGAATTTCGATTCTGAACCATCGCCGGCCCAAATACGCGAAGTGGTGTACACTGTAAGTGTGTTCTATTATGCTATCAGCACCAATGCGCCAGTAAAATGAAAGAAACAATATCACAGTAGGGGGTAGCATTCACCGGTCTATCCTTAGTTAGGAAAAAGATACGTACGTCCAGATTCGCCCTGATG